TATCAAATGTCCAGATTTACCATCATAATTGCAGTTCATTAGTGTGTGAATATGGTAGTCATGTGTTCGCCTGATGATGGCTTTAATAGCCGAAACATGTAGCCAAGCTAATTTTAGCCTTGACCTTTATATTGCTGTGTTGTGACGGACTCAAATAAAGAAACTGTAATCAGTGTGTGCACTATTTGACTGATTAATTGGTCAATGATAAAGAATTGATAAGGTTCTTTTCTCTGAGTGATCAATTTGTAATGACTGTGGCATATCTGGAAGTGGTATTTTGGCACACATGGAAACACTGAAGAGGAACATGAAAACCTTGTTTTAGTTGGTTCACAGATACATATTTGAACACAATGCATTACTGCTGAGGTCATTTGTTATTTCTTCTTCCAGAAATTCTGCATCTCTTGCCACATTTATTTGAGACGGATTGCGAGGATCTGATAACCGATAAGCTTTACTTGCCTCACTATATCCCATAAAAATGTATATCTTGCTCACAGCATCCAGTTTTTGGCATTTCTGTGATGGTACATGAGCATATGCTGGACATCCGAAAATTTTTATATGGGAGAGATCAGTCTTTTCTTCTGTCCATATTTCTTCAGGCAATTGATTCTTTAGTTTCTTGTGAGGTGATCTGTTTAAAAGATATATGGCTGTTTGAGCTGCTTCAGCCCAGTATCTTTTGTTGCAGCTGGAATCATCCAACATACATCTTCTTTCTTCCAAAATGCTGTGATTAGCTATTTTGGCAGTTCCATTTTGCTGTGGATTATACAGCACAGAGAATTCCCTTTTGTTTTAACATGTAATTGTAATTGTAATTTATTTCGAGTTCCAGAAGATCCAATAAAACTGGTTACAAACCATAGGATATAGAACATGTTAAAATACAGACTAGAACATGTCAATATAAACAAAATATAAAAATACAATACAATCATAAACACAGTTAAGGAATTATTTGAGCTCAAAAGAGCATGTCACAAATATAAAGCAAAAAATAAATAAATTAAATAAATAAAAGATATAAATGGTAACAAATATCATAAATACAATAAAACACTTATGCAGATAGACTCATATAATTAGTATAAGATAACATGCAAATTCATTTAAAACCATTATTTACAACATCATTCATTAACACTATAATACTCCTCCAAGTCATAAAAACAATGAGTAATCAAATATCTTCTTAGAGAAATCTTAAATTGCTTGTATTTCCCAACCATCCCCTTTATTTCAAGAGGCAAATTATTAAATAACTTTATACCCGTAAAATAAACACCTTTTTGATACAGTGTTAAGGTGGAAGTTGGGAGATATAAATTACTTCTCTGTCTTGTCTGGAGATTATGTGCATCATGGTTAGTAGTGAACAGTTTACTATTCTTTGATACAAAGAGCAAAACTGAATAAATATATTGTGACTTCAATGGTAAGATTCCTAGCTGCCTAAAAAGATTTCTGCATGAATGCCTATTACTATATCCTGTCATTAAACGAACTGCTTTTTTTTGTATCAAAAAGAGTTTCTTGGTATTAGTTGCTTGCCCCCAAAATATAATTCCATAAGATAGTATAGAATGAAACAGAGAATGATATATCTTCACTAATGATGAGCCTGACATATAAGGTCTGACAGATATTATCATAAAGCAAACTGTAGCTAGTTTGTTAATAACTGAATCAATATGTATATTCCAAGAGAGGATGTTATCAACTTCCAGACCAAGAAATTTGAGATGAGAGGCTTCCACTAAATCACTAATATCATAGGAATTGGAGGCCTTGGTTGGAACAGAGTTTTTGGTTATAAATTGCATTGTAAAAGTCTTCAACAAATTGATTGATAACAAATTAGATTTAAACCATTTATCTATGTTTATAAGGCTTGCATTAAGTTTTGCTTCCATAATATCGGGACTCTTATCCATGACTATGAGGCTGGTATCATCAGCGAACAAGACAGATAAAGCAGTATCAACAGTAGCTTGGGGGAGATCATTAATATACAATAAGAACAGTAGAGGACCCAATACTGAGCCCTGTGGTACCCCATGCTGTAATTTAGACCAATTAGATGTGATACTAGAAAAAGTTATACTATCTTTCAAGCTAACGCACTGGTATCTATCCTTAAGATATTGTGAATATAATTTCTTAGATACTCCAGTAATTCCATAAATTTCCAGTTTGTGGAGAAGGATGTTGTGATTTACACAATCAAAAGCTTTTTCAACATCGCAAAATAGTCCCTTGACTTTTAGTTTGTTATTTAGTGCAGTTAAAGTTGCATTTATTAAAGTATATATCGCATTGTCCGTCGACAGATTTTCTTGGAAGCCGTATTGATTTGGACTAATAATATTATATTTCATGAGATGATTTATGAGTCTGTTATACATTACTCTCTCTACAATTTTTGAGAAGGATGTTAGTAGTGAGATGGGTCTATAGTTAGCTAATGTTGATTTATCTCCCTTTTTATGTATTGGCTTAACTACTGAGTATTTTAATCGATCAGGGAAAACCCCACATTGTAAAATTTTATTACAAATATAACTTAATGGATAGCTTATATATGGTGCACTGAGTTTTATGATCCTCATGGATATTTGATCATATCCACATGAATCTTTAGTTTTAAATGCTTTAATTATTTTCTCTATTTCTTTAGGTGTGGATGGTTTGTTATGAATTTTTGGATAATTATTTAAAATTGCCTGACGCATATATGGTAAAAATTCAGTGTCCAAAATATTACTATGCTTGCCATTATCTCTATTAATTAATTTGTTACCAATAGAAATAAAATAGTCATTAATTTGTTCAGCAGCATTTTGATTCTTGCATTTCTTAATTAGATCCTGTAAGTCATTTCGTTTAGAGATTCTACCCGTTTCTGAATTAATTATTTTCCAAGTTGATTTAAGTTCATTATGGGATTTCCTAATATAATTGTCATAAGAATTTTTTTTTGCTAGAACAATGACCTTGTTTAAGATTTTACAATACTTGGAATAGTAATCTTTTAAAGCTAAATTCTCTTCCTTTTTTAGTTTTAAATTTTTTTTTTCCTCCCCACAATAAATTCTGATACCAGCGGTAATCCAATTAATGTTTCCATTATTTATTTTCTTCTGTTTATGGATCAAAGGGAAACAAGAATAGAAAATTCTCAAATAGGTGTTCAAAAAGGCATTAAATATATGATTCACGTTACTTCCTCCAAAGACTTCATTCCAATTTACATAGCTTAACTGATTTAAAAAGTCAGCAACAGTGTATGTATTAATNAGTCAAAAAATATTTAGCATTCCCATAAGAGGGTACTTCAAATGGCCCAACCAGATCTAAATGCAATAGATCAAGTATTCATTTTGACCATTTGTTCTTTGATTGTAGGAAAGGCTTCTTTGTCATTTTGCCTTCCAGACATGGAACACATTTCTTTGACTGATCTTGTTCTTGAAAATCGATGCCACTAGCTAAACCTTTTTTTAGCAACTGCATGCTGACCCTATTTAAATGCCCCAAACGCCTATGCCACAACAGTTGCTCGTCAACTTGCTGGGTACTTGCAACTTGTTCATTCTTTACAGTATTAATACAAGATTTTTCCATTTGTCATTTTTCTCTTTGGTATTAACCTTATCTTTAGTTGCTATATTTGCAGATTGGGTCATGTTAACTTTGGTATTTAAACAAATCCCATTTTCGGGATATTCTTTGCCAGGAACTTTGCCTCTTACCTGAAAATCATCAGAATCATATAACTTGCAACAGTCTTTGGTGAATAACACAATTGTACCCTTATTTACAATTGAGTTTACAGACAACAAATTTGTAGACAATCCCGGTACGTGCAATACATCTGAGATTTGGCTATAATTGTCATTCATAAGTTTTACATCACCAAAACCTGCACTAGTTAACGTGTTATCAATTTCACTGCTGCAGATTCTCCTCCACTTGGTTGTATTGGCACCAGCCACCACCCTTCCATCTTCTAGTTTTCACCTCAGTGTAATCAATCAAGGTAATTACTTGGGTTCCAGTGCAGAGGAAGAACATGATTTAATTGGGTGTCAGACGGTTTATGAATGAGGTCTGAGAAATTTGGAAAAGTATACAACTGGTGCACTAGCTGAACAGTTTGCAGGAGACACTTGGGCATGTTCATATAGACAGAAAAATCCTTTGAATACAGTTGCTTTCAAAGTACTCATTCTGATGTAATAAGTTTATACATACAATCTGAATAACTGATGAAAACGCTACAGTTAAGATCCTACACAAATCAAAAGATGCCTTAAGAAAAAGCTTTATATTACTTTTAAGGTCATGGCACCCACCGTCTGTGCTCAAAGTCGGCAATTAATGACTTGCAAAAGCTGTCAGGATTCAAGATTTTCCAGCGAAGTTCATTAGCCTCAGAAATAAAATAATACCGTGTTATAAATTCCACGTAATCTTCTCATTTGAATAACATAACTCAAATAAATATAAGTAAATTTTAATTAACAGTATCAATCAAAATTGTAATAGATGGAGAGACCAGCATCAGCATGCTGCGGCAGTATGGGAATAAAACTATAATAGTAAACATTGCTTCAGTTTATGCTTTCTTATATGCAATGATAGAAACATAAATGCTAGAACAATACATAATACCAAAATTTAATGACTAGCTTTATCCTTTTGATGAGTATCAGAGGTAATTGCTTATTAAACAGTGTTTTATATTAAGTGAGATGGTTCCTGGTATTAGTGGACTTTTCTACTGTGTGCTTCCTTTTCACATGCCATTATTTAATTTTGAATCAGATGTTCAAAATACTTCAGTCTGAATAATATTTCTGAGCATTGAGAGACTTCATGTTTTAATACAATCTTACAGAGATTTCTCCANTTTCTCTAGACAATCGGCTCATAGATGGCGGTAAGGTTGTCAGACTTACGCGCCGGCCTCCCTTTACGACCAGGAAGATTCCTGGTAATCATTTATGCTTGAGACCAAGTCGACTCCATGGCCACAGTGCGGCTGGATGTATTAGATCGACTGGAAAAAAGATCCACCTCATCGGGATTCAAACCCCCGACCTTCCTTCTTGGTGCACAGTGCCTCAACGGCCTCAACCAACTATGCTACCGCGTGATCCAGAAAAAAAATCAATAAGACACACAAATCATTCTTCTCCTCCTCTTATTTTTCTTGAAACAACACATGTAACGATAAAATTCCCTCAATTAGTAATCCTAATCTAGCACCACTAATCCCACTGAATATAACCTAATAACCTATGAAGTCGAAACTTTAGTGGCTTTCAGCAGTTGCCATCATTGATGAAATTAGTGAAGTCAACACGATTTAAAAATGATTCTAACCTTCTACGCCGCTATCTAGCAATAACGTACAAGTATTAAATAAGGTATTGCCCCTATTTTATTGGTTTTCTTTCCCAATTTTTGACAGTATACAATACTCGAATAAATCGATACATAGCAGTCGGTTATGCCCATATACAACATTGTTACTTACAGAGAGCATTTTCGACGCGTTGCTGTGCGTTACTGTGTATCCTGTGTTTCCGTGGCGGTATATGCAATGTTCTGTTAGTGCGTATTTGTCGTGTTTATATGGGCTTGCCCCCAGTTTTTACAAATATCGTTTGAGAAAAACCTCAGGAAATAACATACAGTTTTAAAATTAACACAAGTAATTTCGAAATGTATTCAAAGGTAAGGTGAAATGCTTCATGGTACTGTGAGAGGAATGCCCTACGAAGATGGAAACCAAACAAAATCTTGCACTGGTGAATGAATTAAGTATCTTAGCGCTTTCCCAGGGTACAGAGTATTGAAGGGTGAAACCGACTACCAACTGGAGCCATGTTTATGAGTGCTAGTGCTTTTTCCTCCACACTCCCACTAATTTAATGACATGGTGCATATTCACAGAGTAAAGCTTTATTGCTAAGAACAATGCTGACTAGAATAGAATACAGTTTATTTACATTACATAGATACTTCATAGGTCTAAGAAAAGGATGTAGAACATGTCATAATATAAGTACAATACTTGTTTCCAATACAGATATAAATACAAGGCTATAACAGCTATATAGCCGGTCACGGTAGCCAAGCGGTCTAAGGCATGCACTGTCTTCGCTCGCTCGGAAGCCGGGATCGTGGGTTCGAATTCCACTCAGGGCATGGATGTTTGTATGCGTTTTTTTGTGTTTATCTACGGGTAGAGGCCTTGCGACGAGCTGATGACTCACCCAAGGACTGCTACCGTATGTGTAAGATCTAGTAAACCAAAGTGAAACGGAGAGTTTCATGGAGGTAGGCCTAGGCCCAAATTGGGGCTGTAGCGCCACAGGGGAAAAAAATAACAGCTATATACTAATTTACAGACTTCTCTGATAATACAGAATCATACCGAAATAAGTATATCAAAGAACCATCACCATTCCTTACATGTATTTATGAATGAGAATTTTTGATCAAGGTAAATTGTAAATTGTACTTATACTGGGTAGCCAGTATAGTGACTAATTTGCAGACTGGACGACTGAGGAATCGGAGTTTGATTCCTATCATGGGCAAGACACTTTTCTTGATAACATGCAGATCAACTCTGAGGCCCACCCAGCCTCCTTAATGATGGGTACTGTGGACTGTATCTGAGGAGAGGGTAGCACAGGCTTGAAGCTCACCACTCACCTCCATCTTTTTCCAAGCTTAAGACTGGAGCTATACCTACACTCCCCCTGGCATGATGCTTAGTTAATTATGCTCAGGGATAAATTTACCTGTACTTTATCAATAAGAAGTAATTTAAATAAATGTATCTCACATTTATTTATAGGAGCTGGGATAGCTTAGTTGGTTGGACTATGGTCGAAAAGGTCAGGGTTCAGTACAGAAGCACAACAGTTTCCCCATTTATAATTTATAGTTTTAAAACACCTTATGATGACCATGTAGGTCAAAACATGTGAATAGCTTTTAATAACTTATTCAGTACACACACCCGCCCTTTAGCCCCCAGGAAAATTCTGGTACTCAAATTCCAGTGACCTCATCGTGATTTGATCTTGCAAACTTCTGGCTTGTAGCATAGTGTCTCTACCAACTATGCAACCATGTGCCCCCTGATAATAGTGATATCCCACAATAATTACTACAGTTAATCACCCTTCTTGTGAATTGGTACAATAATAGTATGGGAATACAGTGCTAAGACACTCACTAGAAGAATTTTTGTACTCCAAAAAAGGGCAGTAAGATACATTGCAGGGCTAAAACATCTGGAATTGTGCAGGGACAGCTTTAGAAATCTAAAGATACTAGCAGTATACTCGCTATATACACAAGAAGCAATCCTGTATGTAAAAAAAAGTGTAACTGTACAGTGAATGAACAAATACATACATATAACACAAGAAATAATAAAGACTATCATATAATGGGCACAACTTAGAACTACATAATAGTAATGCTTCAGCAGCTGGCTGTATCTTTTACAAAAAATTTGCCTAACAACATAAAAGAAACAGAAAACAAAAATCAGTTCACAAGGAAATCGAAGAAGCTACTTATTCAGAGGTGCTATTACTCAACAGAGGACTATTTGAACGATGAATTCTTGAATATTGGCTAATGATATAAGCAGAAGTATATAGTATATAATGTATAAAATGTTGTATATCTTATATAATTTTTTAGTATTAAGATTATTGTAATTTAATAATGTATATTAGCTGAAAGACTTGTCCTATATCATTGTATCATGGTCTACAGGATTAATAAAAGAATGAATGAATGAATAGACTCCTTCCACTGATCAGTTAATTCTTCCTTATTCCAGGTAGAACTAATGAGTTTATGGATCTCAGACCATAATGCTTTGCCCCCTGCTTGAATGAGTTTTGCCATAATTTGATCACTACATGGTGATTTATAATTTTTCAACTTTGCAATAGCAGTTTCACCCTGAAAAGGACTAGGAACAGGTACTAACAACTCAGCTATATGCATTTCTGTCTGCTTAACATTGCTGACGGGGTACGCGGTAGAGTAGTGATTAAGGTACTATGCTACAAGCTGGAAAGTTGCAGGTTCAAGTCACGATGAGGTCGTTGGAGTTTTTCAATTGACCTAATCCTTCTGGCTGCACAAGGCCCTGGCGTTTACTCAGCCTCTTAACAGAAATGAGTACCAGGAATTAATTAAATGATTTTCCTGGGGAGTGAAGCGTGGCCGGCGCGTAAGGCTGACAACGTTACTGCCATCTCTGAGCCGATAATGTGGGACCCTTAACGTCTCACAACCCTATGGGCCTTCACGGCATGTTACAATGATAGCTTTACGTTTTTACTTTACTAACATTGCTGACCCAATGTACATTCAGTATTTTCGCTTAGTGAGGGGGGGGAGTCCAGCTGGGGCTACTCAGCACAGCGACCACTGATTGGCCTGTTGTACATGCCCTGGGTGATTATGATGATGGTGAATTTGGTGGAATGAAGATTGGCTGGGGAAACTGAAGTACTCAGAGAAAACCTGCCCCAGCGCCACTTTGCCCACCACAAATCCCACTTGACCAGACCCGGGATCGAACCCGGGCCACCGCGGTGGGAAGCCAGCAACTTACATTGAATAACCGAGAGAAGTAGTTCTTCCACCTCTTCAAAATGTTGTGGGAATTTGCAAGCAGATCACCGATCTTATCATTCGCTAAGTTGCATCTGGGTTAGTAGCACCTCTTAACTTCACCTATTTCTCTACACATACGAAGGGGGACCCAAAAATAACTGGAACCGACCTGTTGCACGCGCATGCTTTGTAGTTACGAGTTGTGCTGCTAGGTGGTGTTAGCTGGGGGTCTCCCGCGACTGTTAGTGAGCTGGCATCAGTCTGAGTTAAGTGGTTTGTCTGTGATGCTCTGTTGTGTGCATTCCTGTTTCAACCCTTTGGCGATTAGTGAGATGGCCGACCAGAAGGAACAAAGAGTGTGCGTGAAATTTTGCTTTCTGTTAGGGAAAACTGCAGCCGAGACTGTTGGGATGCTATGGCAAGCCTTTAATGATGATGCTTTGGAGAAATCACAGGTCTACGAGTGGTTTTCCCGTTTCAAATCTGGCAACATGTCAACAGAAGACATGCCATGCCCTGGGCGTCCTTCGACAGGAAGAAATGACGAAAACATTGCCAAAATCAAACGTGCAATTGATGAAGATCGTCGAAAGACCATTGACCAACTTTCTGAGGAAACGAACATCTCATGGAGCACGGTCCAGCGAATTTTAACCGAAGGTTTGCACATGAGACGGGTGTCTGCAAAATTTGTTCCTCGCTTGCTCGGAGATGACCAAAGAGAAAACCGCGTGAATGTTTGCCGCGACTTGAAGAGTGAAGTGCAGAACGATCCAGAATTTCTTAAAAGAATTGTGACTGGCGATGAGTCTTGGTGCTACGGGTACGATCCAGAATCAAAGCAATCATCAAGCCAGTGGAAAACTCCAACTTCACCACGACCGAAGAAAGCGCGTCAAGTGCGATCCAATGTGAAAACAATGTTGATTTGTTTTTTTGATGTGAATGGCATTGTCCACAAAGAGTTCGTTCCGCCAGGACAAACAGTGAACCAACATTTTTACCTGGATGTGTTACGAAGATTACGAGAGAGTGTGCGACGAAAACGGTCCGAAATGTGGAGAAATGGGAACTGGTTGCTTCACGACGACAATGCTCCAGCCCACACAGCTTTGACGGTCCGACAGTTTTTGACAAGCAACAACATGGTGATTGTGCCTCATCCATCTTACTCACCCGACCTGGATCCGTCAACTTTTTTTTGTTTCCACGGATGAAGAGAAGTCTGAAAGGAAAGCGATTCCGTGATGTGGATGAAGTCAAAGAAAACACGCTAAAGGCTTTGAACAGTATCCAGCCTCAAGAATTCCAGTACTGTTTTGAACAGTGGCAAAAGCATTGGGACAAGTGCATTAATGCACATGGACAATGGTTTGAAGGGGACTAATATACAGTTCAATAAAAATGCAAAAATAAAAAATAACAAAAATAAATTCCGGTTATTTTTGGGTCCCCCTCGTATCTCTGATATTCTTGTTCTTACTGTTCATTGCAAACTCATTAGTTCTCTCCTTTAGATATTGGTTCAGATTATTCCCATTCATTTTTCTTGGATTCTTTAACCACTGCAATTTGCCTTGCTTCTTTTGCCTAATAATTCTAAGCATCTTTTATCAAACCATGACTTATGCGTCTCCGATTTATAATATACCGGACTCTCTTTGAAATTTTTGTGTCCAACACAATACTGCTCTTTACCTTCTACCTCATTTAATTTCTTGAATTTGAACCTCTCCACATGAAATTTGTGTGTTGTTTACTCATTGCC